TGCAATTTAATATATAAATTTCTTAAAATATACTTAATAAAAATCTTCTTATATTATTTTATTAATGTCATTTTAATAATTTCATCACACGAACTACACTTGAATAGTATGGTTAGACTTGAACAACATGTAACTCTAAAAAATAATATAATATTTAGAAAAATTAAAAATGTACTTATTTTATTACAATATTATTGTTAAGGCACAAATATTATCTAGTTTTAAGGAGAATATTGGGAAAGGCCTGATTCACGATGGTACAGGATTTGTAACATTCCCTGTGAAGTATCAATGTGTTGTCTTTAGACCATTTAAAGGCGAGATCTTAGAAGCTGTTGTGACTATGGTCAACAAGGCAGCTGTTTTCTATTTGCTACTCTCCTGACTTAATGATAAGATTATCTTATGAACCATGGATTTCTACTGCTTTACCGATCACTGCATTTGTGATTCCTACAGATGGGATTCTTTGCAGAAGCTGGACCTGTTCAAAATTTTGTTTCAAACCATGTAAGTATTTTTCCCTTTTTAATAAGGTTTCTGCTCCAAGAGGATCCCTATATTCATCTTGTGACAAACATTTTCATTTTTCCATTCAAATCTATGCCCTTTGTGCTTAATTCAATAATTAGTCTATTAACTATCAATTTAATTTCATTTGAGTCTAGAAAGTTTGTTTTCTTTCTAAATGGTCTATAAACTTTAGAGAATATTTCAAAATAGTCTACCGTACAAAATTTCTGTTAAATCTAACGGAAAAGAGCAGCCCTTTATATTTTGAAAAAGTGACACAGTAATCCTGATAAAATATAATGACTCAAGAATTACTTTATAGAGATAGATTAGTTAGAATTTGTAATAAACTTAAGCAACTAGTTCAATTCAAATAGAGAAACTTAAATTAAGCCATGCCCTCTGTGAGATGTCAATTTGCTTGGCAGTAATGCATTTTGATTTTTTGTTTATTGCTTACGTTGTAGCTATTGTTGATGCAAACTTGAATTTTCTGTACCTTGATGAAATTTCCAGCGTCTAAGGATTTAGTGTTTTCATCAAGCACATCTATGTCCAACAAGAAAAATAGAACTCCTTTGATTGAATTAACTAATGTGTTTAGCAATTGACATGGAAGAGCTAACATGTTTTGTTTCCCTTTTTTTTCCTTTTTTGGAAATGCTTTACTTCTTGAAACTTGGCAATTGATGTGTGGTGAAGCTTAAAAATGAGGAACTTAGGAACTCCACTTTCACACACTTAACAAGCTACATAAAAAGCAAGACACTAATACAAAATAAAAAGAAACATAAATTTGATAAATTAAATAAGTTCTTTATCTAATGCAACAAAACAGCATATTACTCACAAGAAACTTATTACATATATTAAACATAATTCTTTAGGGTTGGACCAATCTCTGTAGAAAATGTTCCAGTATTCATTTTTTGCAGGATGGATTACAAAATTGGGAGTCTTTTAGTTGTTCGTACTTTATGTCCTTGACATGTGATTAACTGATTATGCCATATATGTATTCTGCATCTCTATTGATAATGGTTTTTGTTTTGATAGTTGATTCCGGATGATAAAGAGTTTCAATCTGGAGATATTCCCAATTATACTACTTCAGATGGATCAGTATGGTTTAGCCAGCTAAAAAAGTAAAGAGCAAAACCTGAGAAACATGAGAGTCTGCAAATTGTCGTTCAGAGGTACTTGGGGTGTCATCATCAGTAGCATCTTCACCCTTGGTTCGCCTTGCATTTGCAAGGTTCATTTCTGCAGAAATTTGACATGAAAAATAGATTAAATGGTTAACAAAATGTCAATGCTCTTGGAATCAAATCAAATCAAAAGCAGATGAAGAAAACTTTTACCAGTCTCCATATCAGTATCAGGCCCCTCAAATATTTGATCGTTAAAGTGAGGAGGACTGACACTTTCATAATGCTCATACTTGCTCTCATCTTTCACCCAGTCACTGGTGTAGCACTGAAGCAGTTCGTTCAGATGAGGCCACTGCTCCAAATTTTCATCGAGCTGCTACCCCAAAAGTAAAAGAAAGAGAAGAAATTAATGG